AAAAATTAAAATAAAACTAAAGATTGCAAATTTACATATTATCAATCAAATGTGAATATTATAATTTCAATCTATCATACAGAAATACAATAATAAATCAATCATTCCAAATAATAAGAAAGATTACTATAATTATTTCATAATAAATTCCACTTCATAAATTGTTAAGCGACAACAAATATGACTTCCACGATAACGTTCTTTCACTTCATCAAAGAGTCCAACCTGAGAAAGGGAAAAAAAAAATTCAATTAGAAAATAAGAAATCATATGATAGAATCAATTTCAATCATTTGTCACTTAGAAGCACTCATAATTCAATAATGTATCTAGGCTCTTGCATAAGTAGCTACTTACCTCGTCCAGTCATTGAACGATTTACATTCATTGAACCCTGTAGAAACAAATCAAATGAATTAATGAATCATAATAGAAGTGGTTCCAACTAGTATACATGTGAAACGACTTAAAATTGATAGAGAATCAGATTGAAACTAGTTGAATTATTCAAGGTCGATAAATGAACTCAATTGAGTAGTCAAGGAATCGAGAAAATAAATTATTGGAATAATTCCCGAATCAAGATGAGAACTTATTAAGTTCCAGGAAAAAGGATTTCGAATAGATCGAAGATTGCAATAGCTCAAGAATCAACAATTCTCGGAAATCAAATTAGTTCACAAGATAGGCGACAATAAATATATATTGAATTTAAACGACGAGTAATAACAATAATAAACCGAACGATACGATTGCTCGGCATATATCCTGTTTCCCATAAAGAATAGGCAAGGGATAGGGATCCTCACCTGAAGTCCAGTGCAAGGTGCTATAAATAAATATCCTTACGCTCAAGCCATGCTCAAGCCTTGAGTGAGAGCTTTAGTACGGTCGATACCTATAAAAATATTCATCACTTAACAAGATTCTAACATAACCGTATTATTCCACTATATCACTTAGTCAATTTCTTGAAACATTTATTAAGAATTTCTTGTCGGGCTAATTCTAACAATCACTACGATCACCATACTTATCCGAATAGCCTAAACTATATATCAAATTAAAGATAACAACTTCATCTACAAGTTCACTTTAGAAACTAACCCCAAATTATCGACCTAACACAGCAGTAACAGCCCCGGAAGATAATTGCATGAAACTGCTAGGTTTTGTTTGAACAAATGCATTTGCTGGCACTGTTTATTTGAAAAATCATAAAAATTTGTAGAGTTATCCAAATTGTCCAAATAATACACCAAATTGAACCTTACAATGTAAACTACAAGTTCTTAGAAGACACACAGCCCAAATTATTAGCTCAACATAGCAAAAACGGCCTCGTAAGAAGAATATTCAAAACTGCCCTGTTTTTACAGATTTAAAGTCACTTAATTCGGACCACTAATCAGCTTCAAAACATACTCTAACTCGATACAATTTTACACTTACCAATAGTTTTCGAGGTCCTCTACGAGTTTCGTCAAGGAATGATTCTTAAATTCGCACTCCAAACCCTCCAAATTCTGCTCCGAAAACAGGTGCGGCAACAGGTTTTCTTTCCCTAAAGTTCCGGTGCGCAGCTGGGATTCTCGCCAAATTCCGATGAATACCACCGAGAACAATTACTGAAACAGAATATACCGAAATGGATATTCTTTTTTGCTGATTGATGGAGGCAATGTAATGATTTATTCGATTTTTCTGTGCTTTTTTTTTTCAGTTTTCGATCAAGCTTATAAAAACCGAGCATCAAAATATTCCAACATTTTACGATTTCGAGTACAGAGACATGAAAACTAGTAAAGCACATGCTCATGAAAATGGCAGCTAACCTTAATAGCCGATGCTTGATCCATCGTCAATTCATCACAGTTTAAGCTCCTGCAAATTAGTTAAACCAGACATCAGATTAATCCATGCAAGAAAAAACCGAAATGACTTGTTAAAGAAACGACTTTTCGAACCAATTGAAAAAATGTTTTTGCACTCCAAAGTTGGAGTCTGGTTCCAGTATTTTATCAAACACCTTGTATGCACGCTGCACCTATGGAAGGCTGACTTCTCAAGGTTTCTAACCGTGGGTCCTGGTCGTCGAGATTCACCCTCTAAGGCCTCCGTTCAATTAATTCTTTGAAGAGCCAAAAGCTGGAATTCGATTTATGGACAGCTAGTCGTCCTCTTCGCCCGATTCCGGCGACCGTCTGATGTAACCACCGCTGGAGGCCACCACCACTGGAAAGCTGACTTCCCAACGATGTGACTTGATCGTCATAACCCCTCGTTCACACAGCCCTAATTTTGTCGATAATTGAATTGGGGATTTGCAATTCCAACCTCAAATTTGTTTCATATACCTCACTTCTTCAAACCCCTTCTTGATTTCGAATTTTCTCCAATTAATTTCTGGAATTTCAGCCAAGAACCGAGAGGGAGAAGGAGAGAGCAGGCGAGAGAGAAAGAGAGCGATGAAGAAACGAAAGAAAGATATGGCTGTATTTTTTCATTATTTGCATTTTCGCCCCCCATCTTTCTTTTATTTTCTTTTCTTTTCTTGATTTGTTTAAAACTTAACTAGTGACCAAATCGATTTGATTTCCCTAAGTAGTTTCATAGTAACAATGTTTTGAAAACCGGACCGGACCGGCCGGTCCGACCGGTTCAACCGCGAACCGCCGCCAAGTCCGGTCCGGTTAGATGTCAAAACCCGAAATGCTCAAAAAACCGGGTCAACCCCCAAAAATCCGGTTCAACCGGTAAGAACCGGGTAACCCAAAAACCAACCCGAAAACCGGTTTTTTGCTCACAAAAAATTTCATCGTTGGATCTACTTCGTGGGTTACTGAATCTTGACGGAAAGGTTGCTGGTGAACGGATCTAGGTAGTATGTGACCCAATCTAAGTGGTGGATGCCATAGCTATCCACCAAAGAAAAGAAAACGAAGAGGGTGAAAGTGAAAATGAAGAAAAAAAATGGAAAAAATAATTAGAGAAAATAAAGTATATATTTGAGTGATGTGAAGAATTAAGAATAAACAAGGAGGAAGAGAAGAAAAGAAGGAAGGAAGAAGAAAAGGGGATGGGGATTTGTGACTGTGCGTATAAACTGAGGAGGAAGAAAGAAGAAAGAAGAGAGAGAGAGAGAGAGAGAGAAGGAGGAGTGAGAAGAAAATTAATAATTTTTAATTACTTTATTATAAAGTGACGAAAGTGGAAATATAAAAATATATAATACATTATATTTCAGGTATTAAATAAATAAATTAATCATATATATAAAAAATGTAAAAAACCCGGTTGGACCTCGGTTGAACCGGTCCAACCGTGACCCGGTAGCTTGACCGGGTCAATATCCGGTCCGGTTTTCAAAACATTGCATAGTAACCAAATTCAAGTGGTTGCTAGCAACCCAATTAAATGGTTGTTAATAATTAAATTAAAGACTCGTAGCAACCGTAAAAAAAATTGATGTTGAATTGGTCACTATTGTCATTAAGTTATAGTGACCATAAAAATTGTCGCTACAAACTTTAACTTTAGTTGCTACAAGATGTCTAACTATTAGTGACCACTTATAGCTACCAAATGTTCGCTGGTCGCAACACGATTTATGCTACAAAATTACTTTTGGTCACTAAATGTGAACATTCAGTGACCATTTAGTTATGGTCGCTGAGAATTTGGTCACAAAAACTAGTTTTTCTTGTAGTGATATATATATATATATATATATATATATATATATATATATATATATATATATATATATATATATATATATATATATATATATATATATATTAAATCGTCCTCTTATTCTTACTTCTTCAAGATTATTTAATATAAAGCTTAGATCATTACATGCATGGATGATCAAAGCATAAATTAAACACGAAATTTTATTTTCTCCCCCCTTTAGTTTTCGGTCATCACAAGAACATTAAAAAATAAATTAAAGAGAAGAAAAATACTATTGGTGTTGAAGCATTTGTAACAAGAATTCGAAAATTCTCACCTTGTTCTTCTTAGAAAATTTGGAAGGGTGTTCTTTCCTTTCTACAAGGAGAAGAAGAAGAAATTTTAGAGAAAGATGAAGAAGAAGCTTAGCTTTTATGAAATTTTCGAAAATGAAGAAAAGAAAGAAGTGGGAGAAGATTTACTCCTTTCATTTTAACTATCCAAAAAGAAATTCAAAAAAGGAAAATCTTAATGCACGTGGATTCACCTAGAGAAGTGTTCTCAAGGAAATTTTTTTGGTCTTGTGTTGTACTATGGTTAAAATTGAGGGATTAATAAGAGGAATTTTCCATTTTTCTTCAAATAATATTATTCAACAAAAAAATAAAATTAATTTGCAATTAAGCAAATATGTGATTTAAACATTCTCCTGATAAATGAGTTCTAGCAAAAATAAAGGAGTATGATTAATCTCTAGATATAATAATTAACTAATATGATCAATTTAAATACGTCCGAAATTATTTTGGACTAATGCATTCTATATGAAATTTCACCGGTTATCACATAAATAAAATCTTAAACTAATAAACGCACATAAGAGATAAAATCATGTTAACTAAATATATGCTAATTAATGGGATATTAAATTATCGGAGACGCGGGGTGTTACATCGGAGTTAAGTGTTTTAGTTGCATATTGCCCCTTTAAAACACTACATTTTTTGCACGTTGCCCCTTTAAAATATTATTTTTTGTGCACAATACCCTCCAAAATTGGATTCTGGGGCAAAGTGCAACTAAAATTATATTTTGAGGAGGGAGTATCTTTTTTGAGTTTTAGGAGAGAACGTGCGAAAATAGAGAATTTATAGGGAGTGAAATGCATTTTGTCATAATTTAGTAGTCAAAATGGGCCTCGTTGAAGAAATTATGAATAAGTCTGGGAGGAGATAGAAAAACCTTAATAGTTTAGGGGTTTAAATGCAAATAAGTTCGAGTCGTCTTGTTCGGAAAGACTGTTAAATACGAAAGAAAGATTAAAACGTTTCTTCACTCTACCAACTTGCCGGAGACGAGACGGAAACACAGTTGAAGTGAAACCCCTGCGGCAGAAATTGCATTCATTCAGACAAATAGAAACAGCGATGAGCGATAAAGGCGGCGGAACGGAGGCGCAGCGGTACGCGTGGGGCGGCGCCGTACCACTTCAGATTCATCTCGACGATTCCGAAGTCACAACGCTTCCCCCGCCACCGCCTGCTTTGGTAATCTCTCTCTCCTGGTGGTTGATTTATGACTAGGGTTGTTGGTTTTGATTATTTTCCGTACTTCTATTTTTAATTTTTAATTTTCTGGTTTGGGTGTTCGATTGATTGGATTTTACAGACTATTATTGCTGCATTTTGGTATTGCCCGATTTTTTTTGTTCGTAAAATCTCGTCTTCTCTTATTGAAATGATTCGAGGAATATGTATTGATTGTTTGAAGATACTTCATCAGTTGGTTTTTGATAAAGTTTCCCTATGGTTGGGGCTTTTTTATTTCTAGGTGTTGGATTGATTCGATCAATGCCTTTGAGAATGTTTATGAATGTGTCGACGAACTGTTGAATTTAAGATTGGTTTCGATTTTTGTGTCAGATATTGGCGCCTCGGTTGGGGTATTTGCCTCTGTTGGTATCTCAGATTAAGCCATTCTTTAGCAGTTCTCTACCGCCTGGAGCTGACACCGTATGGTTCGAGTACAAAGGATTGCCGCTCAAATGGTATGTATTATGCAGATTTACTTCAATAGTTACTTAAAAAGTAGTAAAATCTGTTTTAATTCTTGTGATGTTTGTTGTGTTGGTTCTTGCTTATAGAAATAGCGTGATCTTGTTTTCCCGTTTCTTAATGATATAATAGATTTTATTTAAAAAATGAGAGAGGCCTGAATTTTATGATGGGATGCTGTTAGGAATGTGGAATATTCTGGAGAATCTGAAGAATTTCAGCATGTGGATAAGGCACTGAATAAATAACTTAATATTGATGAAATGTTTGATTGTCGACTTCTTTTCTTTCTCCATTATGAGAACGTCCCTACTTGATCCTAACTTCTTTCCAATATGATAGTGTTGTGATGTTTGGCAATAAAGTGTACCAGGCCTATGTAATAAAGCGTGTGTGAGGTGATTGGTTGTCGCGTGTCCATAAGAAGTGTGGATGCAAGTTGTGAATGTAGATCCTCTAATTATGTTATTGTTCGGGAAATATTATGGGACTTCTGAAATAAAGCAAACCAAATAACTAATAAAGCAAGAACTTAAAAGAGTAAGTGGAAAATTTGCTGGGTGGGGGGTGGGTGTCGGTAGTGAAGATACTGAATTACCAGTTCATCATTGAAAGTTTCGTTAATTGTGATTGAGAACAATGTATGGAAACTCCTAATGTAATTAATAGTATGTCGTGAGATAAATCAAATCTTGTACTAAAAAGCAATCGGTATTGTCTCCATTTATATGTTTAACCCATCAATAGAGCATTAAGTCCTATGGATTCCTGTATTTAAATTATATCTGTGATCATTGCATGTACTGAATCCTATATTTCTAAATTTGAAGGATAAGCCAGTAAAGATACATTTTAAAACCTTGAATAAGAAACTTTTTTCCGCGTCGTGACGTGCGAATTTGGTGCCATGGCTCGAATCTTCATTTAAACCGGCGCTTACATGTCGAGATTTGATTCTTTATGCGGGATTCTCCTGTCTTTGTTATTTTATTTTTATTGCTCGTGTTATTCTTATACTATATACCTAATATAATTACTGCTTCTGAATTATTTCCATTCAGGTATATACCTACAGGGGCACTTTTCGATCTTCTTTGTGCAGAACCAGAAAGGCCTTGGAACTTAACTGTATGAATTGCTACCTGAGATTTTGTTAATGTTGTTTTCGTATGCCAAAACTGTGGGTTTAGCATCTTGTTGTTTTCGGTCTATTTTTCTCATCCTTAAATACTGGAACCCATTAACCAAGTCCGTTAAACGTACGTTTATTTACTTTTTGTTTATATTTTAATCACTTTGACTGAGTGCACTGCGGAATCTTCTCAGATACATTTCAGAGGATATCCAGGAAATATATTGACCCCTTGTGAAGGTGAAGATAGTGTAAAGTGGAGCTTCATTAATGCTCTAAAAGAGGTGAGGTATAAATATCTGCATGCTTTTGTTGACTTTAAGTAGATTAGTTTGTTTAGTTGCGTGCACATTTATTCATGCACAACAGAAAAGAAACATATTATCCTTTTAAACCAATTTTTCAATTGGGGGTAAAAGAGAATGATGCACGAACATTTTCTTTTTTCGCTTCGGTAAATACTTCTAATATTTTCTCTAAGATTTTTCTTGTGGAAGTATGAACGCTAAGTATTCTCCTTCCGAGTATATAACACAATTGCGCAACCTTCTCTACAGGCAGCGTATATAATCAATGGCAATTGCAAGAATATCATGAATATGTCTCAATCTGATCAAGCAGAACTTTGGCGCTCTGTCTTAAATGGTATGTATCTGTCTTAAATTATGTCAAATGATGGCTTTCTTGGTTTTTCTGAATCATTTGATTTGTCCATTTTATTGTTTTCTTTATTTCGAATTATGAATTTATTTTATAAAGTCTTAATTCCTGGGAACTAAACAAGGGTCATAAACAAGAGCTGATTAGTTCCTGCTAATGTTATGAAAGTGACAGTATACGTTTTTCATGTGACCAAACTATCATTTTATTGTTTAACTTTAACAGAATAGATAGACTTGTTTAGATAATCGGTAGTGGTGAATATGCTTTTCCGAGACTGGTTCACTATATTTATTTCTGAGTTGTGAATGCTTGTTTTATTTTTTATGCTATCGTTTTAATGTCTCTCCGGAGAATGAAGAATACAACAACATCCCCAATTCCCCGTGTTCTACATTAGGGATTCCACTTTTTTCTGTATATGTTGGTCAGTAATACAACCATGCTGTTTTCTTTCTGTTAATACCATGTCCATTTTTCGTATTTCGTTGCACGCGTCAGCATTAAGTTCCTGTATTTTGGGATCAAAATGTGAAGAAAAGCTATTTATCTAAGCATTTATGCGTAAGGTAATAGAGTAGAAAATAAAAGCAGAGTTATATTTCTTATAGACTAAATCAAATCATTCCGAAAAGTGATCTGGGTTAAAAATGTACTCTCTAAACTTTGGTGTGTCAATGGTTTCCCTGTAAATTGAAGTCGATCTGTTTTTTCTTGGTCTTAAATTCCAGTTCTAATTTCAAAATAATGTTGTGTCTCAGGCCAGCTTGAAGCTTACGTTCGTGTTTCTTCCAAACTCAAACTTGACATTGTTGGAGATGAATTTTCTCTCAAGTTGAACTCTTCGACACCAAAGTCTGACCAAACCGTAAATACTGATTTAGATGCTACTGGAACAACAAGGACAGGTGAGATGTAGGAAATTATTATTGTTTCTTTAAAGGGCAGCATAAAAGAAAACTGTACGAAGATTTGACGGGTTTATCGGGGCGATGAAGACGTGGTTTGTATAAAATGCAACTTTTTTAGGAATAAATTTTAATTGATTCGTCTATGGTGCATGTATAAGTGAACATCTGGCATTCGTTGTTACTTTTTCATCTAACAAAGATATTGTTTTCTCGTCGGAGATTCCGGGATAATCCACGTAACCTTGGTTCTAAGTTTCGTTCACTCTATAATGATATTGATGCAATTTATACCGTATTAAAGTCGACTGCTCTCTGTTCAGGTAAAGTTCCTGTTCGGTTATACATACGGACTATTGATGAAGATATTGACGACATAGAAGATGCCCCTATTGTCGATAGCTGGGAAAAAATTTCTTACATAAACCGTGCTGTTGAGTTTCATGGTGAAGGTACGATCGAAAGCAGTTTCCCCCTTACGTTTCTCATACCTGTAATATAATCGTGATTGTGCCTTTTTTTTTCCTCTTATTTTTTGCAGAAAAATGTTTTAGTTTGCATGATGCAATAAAATATCTATTACCGGAGATGTTTACAGAGGAAGTAGCCCCCACAGTAGGTTCTTCCGATACAGGTGAAGCACAGGTGGAGGAGGGCGAGCAAATATCAGGTGCAGACAGCTCCACTGAAAAAGTGTTACGACCAGAGATAAAGCTAGTTCGCATTCAGGGAATCGAGCCGCGATTGGAAATTCCATTCAGCTGGGTCGTTAACAACTTGATGAACCCTGAACACTACCTTCATATTTCTATATATCTCAAACTTGTCCCTATATCATAAATGTTTTTTTATATATATGTATATATATATTTCAATTCCGAATGTACAGAATTGACTGTCGTTGAAGTGTATAGACCCGTTGAACGGAATTTCATTATGAGAAAGTTAGCAGAACCATTGTTTTGGGCAACAGTTTTTGATTTTGCGATAAGATGATGCATTTTGTCCAATGTTGGTTACAGTTTAAAAACTTGTCGTCTGGTTTGTGGGCTATTGTACGAAAAATGGAATTTACTTGGACAGAGCACAAAAGCAAATCTCTCGAGTCTTGTACTTTACATGACAACTTTACCTTAGTATGATAAAAGGGGGCGGCTAAAATAAATATAATTTTTCTCTCACTTTAATACCGCAAATATAAAAAAATAAAAAAATAAATAGATAATAAATAGGTAATGACATTATTAGCCTTAATGAAAATCAATACCACACACAAAATTTGTATGGTATTGATTTTATTAGGGGTATTAGTATCATTACCTATTTATTTTCTATTTTTTATGTTGATGGTATTGAAGTAAGAAATGAACGGTATTTGTTTTAGCCGTCCACATTATAAAAACGACACGCATTCAATTGCTTCGAAGAATTGTTTTTTTTTTTTCTTTCTTTCTTTTTCGTGAAGTGAATGTTTAATTGTAACATATGATGGTAGACGGGTTTTGCAGAACCTACACCTGGTGAAATACAATTATATAGTTTTAAATCGTAGATCTGCAAATAATAACACACACCCATGTGTATGTGTGCTTCGTAGATAGTTATTTATGTAGATCAACGGTTTAAAACCACATGGTGTATTTCACCAGGTGTATAATCTTATAAGCCCGGTAGACGTAACATATTTTGCTCTACTTCCATGAATTAACCTTTAACTTATGAATGAAAATATGATAAAAACCCTAACCTTTTCTTTATTTTGAATTTGTAACATGATTTGAATTAAAAAATAAAATTTCATGGACAAAAGAAAAATGGAATTGCTGGCACAAAGTGCTCTTGTTGAAGCTAAACAAACAACTGGTAACGGTGAAACCAAAGCTTCTATGGATTGTACAAAAAACAAGAAAACCTCTCTAGCTATATAAAAACATGCACACATTTATCACAATCCATCACAAAACCAAATACAAAGTGAAGTGAAGTTATTACATTATAATACAACATATATAAGATATATGGCGAAAGACGAGCTTGTTTTGTTGGATTTTTGCTGGAGCCCGTTTTCGGTGAGGGTGAAAGTTGCACTGGCGGAGAAAGGGTTGAGTTATGAGGTTAAGGAGGAAGACCTTATGGGAGGGAAGAGCGATTTGCTATTGCAATCGAATCCGATTTACGAGAAGGTTCCGGTGCTTTTGCACAACGGCAAACCTATCGTTGAATCCACTAACATAGTTTATTACATTGACGAAACATGGGATTCTCCTCAGTTGCTGCCTACTTCTTCTTACGGACGGTCGAGGGCTCGTTTCTGGGCCGACTTCATTGATAAAAAGGTTTTTCTTTTTACTTTTGATCACTATATGCTTAATTAGTAGTGCTTTTAAAAGAAAAAAACAAACATCATAAAATCCAAAGCGTAAAAAAATAAATTTAGTCAAAGTTGTGTTTGAACTTGATTCGATAAGCAATCACGTTGAGCTCGAAGAAGAAATAATCGAACCTAATACATATCGAGTTCAGGTAGCTTGATTTTCTGTAACTCTATTTTTGTTGAAAAATATAGTTTTCATCCCTCAACTTTGGCACCGATCTCACATTTGGTTCCGCATGTTGTGAAAAAATACATTTGGTCCCTCGTGTTTCAAAAATTTAACATTTTTAGTCATTTCCGTCAATTTTTCGTTAAAACTAACGGAATCAAGCGTGTGCCCATCAATGCATTAAGTGAAGGACTAATGGTTATTAACGGAAGTGACCAAAAGTGTTCAATTATTGAAACATGAGCGACTAAATGTGTTTTTTCCAAGGTTGTAAAAATCGGTAATCGGGTCCGAGTCGGTCAGGCACCGACTCACGATTAATCGGTGCGGCGGTGATTAATCGGTGATAAATCGGAAATAAATCGGTTTTTAAAATTTAATATAATATATTTGTAGAAATTATTTATAAATACTCAAAACATAGATAAAAATATTTAAACATAGTTATATCTCGATCATGTACACATTCTAATAACATAATGAAAGTTTAATAATAATAAGATCATAATACATAAATATCCTTATAAAATATAAATAAAAAGACATTTTTTTTTTGAATTTACATACATTCTTGGCATACATCATATCATTAGTTCTTTAACAATAATAATTAACATAAACAAAATAAAGCATAAACTCATTTTTTTTTATTAAAATCCCAACTTTTATTTTGGTTTATAAAAAAAAAAAAAAATAAAAAAAAAAAATAATAAAAAAAAAAACCGATTTTTGACCGATTTTTTGCCGATTTTTGCCACCGAAGTTTGACCCGCCTTAAAGGTTTGACCGCCTCGGACCGCCTCAAACCGCCTCACAGGCAAAAAACCGATTTTTCAAACCTTTACACTAAAATCGTAAAGGTTTTGGACCGCCTCCGCCTCGGCGACCGATTAATCGGCCGCCTCGGCCGATTTTTAGAACACTGGTTTTTTCTCAACATGGGGGACCAAACGTGAAATCTGTTCAAACTAGAGGGATGAAAAGTGAAATTTTCCCTCTTTTTTTTTTCTTCTAATCAAACCTAGTTTCATAGCTCATCGAAAGAAAATACGGGCTCGGGATTGGCTCGTTATGTTAATAAATCGGACTCAAACGAGTTTCTAATAAACCATCTCGAATTGAGTATACAAAATCTAATTTTATTTTCAGCTATATTGAATTACGAATATGTTTTTAAGGTGTTTGACGCTGGCTGCATAATATGGAAGAGCAAAGGCGAGGAACTAGAAGTAGCCAAGAAAGAATTCATCGACATTCTCAAGAAGTTGGAGGGTGCAATGGGGGACCATGACTATTTCGGTGGCGATAAATTCGGGTTCGTCGACATCGTACTCATCGGTTTATCTTCATGGTTTTTCGCGTACGAGAAGTACGGAGGATTCGAGATTGAAATCGAGTGTCCTAAAATTGGAGCTTGGATCAAGAAATGCAAGGAAAAGGAAAGTGTGGCCAAAGCTCTGCCTAATCCTCAAAAAGTGTATGAGTTTGTGGGCATGCTAAGAAAGATGCATGGAATTGAATGAAGGAATCATTATATTTAATTTGCATGATTTTTATATTGTCATTTTCTTGGGTTTTTATTTTGTGTTTTTGGGGGTTTTTTTAATGGCTCAATAAAGGTGAATTAGTGAGTGGAAATAATGTTCTTCTCAATGCTTTGTTATGTTGCAAAGTATATATGAGATGAGCTTTGTTTGTGTGGATGTACTTAAATGGGCTTATTTGTTTGCTTAAGTGTTTGATTATTAGTGATTAATTTGAATGTAATTTTAAAGTCAGTTTTTCTTTTTCATAAAAGTGAAAATGAACGACTTCTTGACATTTTATATATGGAACGGTGTGAACTAGGGATGACAATTTCACCCGTCCCACCGGGTATTCGCCCCGTTAGCTAACGGAACGGGTACGGTTTAGGGTACGCGTTTTGAAAATATGCGCCCTTACCCGCCTCATATCCAACCCATTTATATATTTTTATTAATTTTATATATTTTTTATATTATAAAATACTAATTTTTAGAGATATTGTAATTAAATAAATTATAAATTATAAAAAAAATATCTTTTTACGGGTCAAATGCGGGGTGGGGTTTATACGGCGCGGGGTCGAGTTTGATAAAATCAAACCTGGAACGAATACCGGGGGCGGCTACGTGTGGAAAATTTTGCTAATAGGACGAGTTTGGGTTTTCTTAAATCCGCCACACGGCCATCCCTAGTGAACTCTGAATAAAGAATTGTTTCTCTTTTTTTTAATGGTGTAGCAAACATCCAATATCGGTATGATCAAGGCTGAATTGACGAAAAATAGCAATGCCCAGTCCATATCGCTCAAATCCCACCCCTACATCTCACTTCAGTTTCTCGTAGACTCATAATCGAGTGCATATTAAGCAAATCAACTTTGAATGACTCCCGAATTGGCGATTTAGTGATCGTGGTTCTATTATTTCGGGAATTATTAGAAGAAATTGAAGATTTCGACTAAATCTTTTGGACAAAAGTTATTGTTTTAGGGTTTGAGAAATTTAAGAAAACAAGTGAAAAACTAAGGAACCGAAATTCGTGTTTAAGCTTATGGTGGAGGGTTGTTAGGATCCTTGGTCGTCCGTCTGTTGAAGCTGGGAGCAAGGGCTGCTCAACAGGCTTTGTCCGTAGCTTTAGCCACGGGATGGTCTAGTGTAATTTTGGAGGGTGATTGTAAGAGAGTTATGGAAACTCTGCAATCAGGGGATGCAATCTGTCTCCCTTTTGGTTGGTATGTTCGTAAAAGACTGCATGGAGATGGCTAAATCATTCAATTCTTGTAAGTTTTCCTTTGTTTCGAGACAAGGCAATTGCATCGCTCATGCTTTACTTTTTTCTACTAATCTCGTAAGTTTGGAAGACTCTTGCCTAATAACTAATTTGGCATTGATAGCCTAATAATACTGAAATGATTTGTGCAGGCACATATTAAACAGTCAGGCACATTTTTTACCATACTTCAAAAAACAAAAAGTAAAAAACTCAAAAACTCTCTCTACCCTTTCGATTTTCTTTCGCAAAGCCCGTGCAAATCGTCAACAGATCGGAGGTAATTTTTACGTTTTTACGATCCTCTTGTTATGTAGATTACGAATCCGAAAAAAAAACGAAAAAAATCGAACGTTGGCCACGCTCGCATGATGTAACACGGAGCGCAGTGGATGCGCTCGTGTAAATTCACGCGAGCGGTTAAATTTTTTTTTTTTTTTATAAATTTATTTCTTGAAAGAAATCGGACTTTTGGGTTGCTCGCGT